GCCGAGACATTCGCGCCCTCTCGTCCAGTGTCGTCCCGCGTGACATTCTCTCGTTATCAATCGCTCTCTATCGACTATTATAGACCCCGATTCTCGCGCCCCATGCCTCGGCGAAGCCGCTCGTGATTCGCCATTGAACGCATTAATACGCAACGAAAGGGTGAAATTGACCGAATGAAAAGTCCGGCTACGTTGCCCCCGGGGCACAGGAGGGGGAAATTCGTTACTCTAGTCGACTGCAATTTTGTACATCCCATTTGTGCCGACCAAGGGTGCCGCCGTTGCACGAAGAACCGAGCGCGTCCCCGGGAGCAGGGATTGGTCGTCGTGTGGCTCGTTGAAAAAATAAAACCAAGTGAAATTGCGTTAAAGCGGATTAGCCACGCTAGGCTTGATTTAACGAACCAGCCCGTACGGTGTGTTTACCATGAATATGAGAAAAGGGACAGGCCTCTTTGTCCGACCCGGGGCGAGACGAAAGTTCAGGTCACGTAAGCGACTCCCGTAGCGCCTCTCCTCGATCGATGAACCCTACTTTCCGTGTAAACGGTTCGTAAAGCCATCGAACTCCAGCCACGGCACAAAATGACAAGAAGCCTAAAACCAACCTAGGCGACGCCGCTCCACTCCCACGGAAATTCGTGACCCACTTGTCAGTGGTGGTTTCGGCTCTAACGGAAGCATATAGGCGTGTCCCGGTGAATCTCGAAAGGGATGCCAGGCAGACTTTAGCATCGGACGAAGCGTCTACCGCGACGGATCGGATCTTTTATGGGGCGAGGTATTTAGACCGCGAATGCGAAATGGACCCGGCGGGTCGAATAGCGAGAGATTCCGCGCTATTGTCCCGCAACGAATTCTTCCACGTTATCCCCGGATGTTTCTGTACCTCGACGGTTCCTTTTCGTAATACATCATTCGGAAAATCCTGTGATCAGCGAGTAATTCGAATCCCGCGATCCTTTGATGTTCTGCCATGGCCGAGGCATAATCTTCCCCGGAGAATGTCTCGCGTTCTTTGAGCCAAGGGCGCGGCGGCATTTCCCTCTCTTTAATGCCCTCGTTATCCAGACATAATCCCGCGGATATATTATCTCGTTGGAAAGCGGGAAGGAACTCGGAGAGGACGTAACGTCGAAGCAACGAATTCCAGACGAAGAACTCGACGTCGACCGTGAATCGAAGGTTCCCCGAGATCCCAGAGGTTCGACGAGCTCCTCCGGAGCGTAAATATTAATACCGTAAAAGAATCCCGATCCTGCCGGCTGTATTTATTTGCCGGTCCCACGGGGCAGCTACGAGTCGTCCCGTTTCGATCCCGAGTAATTCTAACCGCGATCCAATATCGGACGACCATAACTCGAGCCCGACAAATCGCAATTCATGCACGCGGGAGCACGGTGCAGCGTGGACGAGGGTATTAGGAATTCCTCCGGATGTGCTCTCGAAAGACGGAGACGCTATGCATGCATGAGTTACGTTCCGGTACAACCGGGTCGGCGAGTCATTAGTAGCATCGCGACTACAACCGTGAACTTCGCCAACGGAACTACAATGTTGCTCGACATCGTCGCGATGGTCGGCCTTCTGCGGGTACGCGATAGTTGCAGCCTGTTCGTTGCAGATCGACACGACCCTTACGATTCTCCGTCTGCCGACAATTGGAAATTCGATCGGTAACTACCACTGGTCGCGGCGAAACTACGACCTTTCCGAACCGAGAGAAATACCCGAGATTCGAAGACAGGGGCGTATAAACCGTGGAGGAGCTCGGCGAAAAGGCGAAGTGGTCGGACGGTGAAGTTCGGTTGGCTGGTTTTTATTACGAATGCCAATCGATAACGCGGCTCCCACCTCGAAGTTTAACGAGTGGAAGCAGCTGTCCAGGTGGCATTAGTCACCGGGATGTAATTTGTAGCCCACGCCCTGGCTCGCGTACATGTGCGAGAACGTGGCCGTGTGCCCGCGTGCATTAAACGGCGTTAACGATCATCGTTCTTTTAATAATCCCGCACACGTCGGATGGCGGTGTAATTGTTGGCAACTCGTTAAGGCGCGCGCGGTTCCGGCCGCGGAAACTCCGGGTAACTAAAGATAATTGATCCCGAGCTGATCAACGGGAAGTATGGACGCGTCTGTCGATTTAGATCGGTCGCAACGCCGTATCTGCATGCACGCCTCGAGAAGCTCTCGGCGTTCGAAATTAATTCCTGTTTGCGATCGAGGTGGCTGCGCATCCAGCAACCTGGATACGGTTGCAACCGCAACATTTTGCGCACAGCCTCGACGAAGTTAACAAACGCGGCACTCCGTGCTCCGCTGATTCGAAACGCGGCTCGTTCGACGCGTGGCTTTCCCGCTAATTGTCCGAAAGATATATAAATCCTTCGTGAACCGATCGCCGATAAAGGGACAATTAGGCCGAGAGTCCGGCGTCGCGAATTCGCGCGCTCAATTACGAACGCTGCACACCGGTGCATATGATTTTCCGCTTCGACTGAGGCCAAGCTCCGGCGCGTTTTTAAACAGCGTTAAACACGGTCAAATGAATTCGATAAATTGTCGCGCGAGAGATACAGGTGGAAGGGGTCCGGGCCAAGTGGAACGCGATCAACGAGGTCGGTAAATAGGCCGTTAAACGGGTTGTTTGCTTGAAAAATACAATTCGCGAGTGAGAATCGGCTGAACCGTGGACGAAACGGGCACGAGACCGAGACGGAATCGCTGGAGATGGTCGGAGAGGAACGCGAGAACGCGTATAATTGAAATAGATCGAGCTAATTATTATTACGCGTCGGAACGCGCAGATATAATCAGGTTACACGGCAAATAACATTGATTTTCAATGGTCGCTATTATTGGACAAGTGGTCGGACAGCGTGGAAGCCGCAGAGGCGATTTTCCTTTCGTCCCCGATACTCGGGATTTATCGAGTGATTGATTCCAATCAGTTATCCAACTGTTTATCGAATAATCAATGCCGTCGTCTGTTCGTCGATGAGGTGCATGGAAATTACATTTCGCGGACACGCGCGCGCGCGAGCCACCGAGCGGCTGTCCTTTCGTCATCGAAAATTCATGCCATACCTGTTCATTTAGCACCGTTAACTTTAAATACGAACGTAAAACACGCGCGAACGATAAAACGTCGACAGATACCGCGAATATTTTACGACAAAAGCCTCGTTCATTGACAGGCATTATAAAAAGTTCGTTTGGAAATTCCGTCTCGTTCCTCGTTTAGTTAAAATTCGCGCGAGCGTGCCGAAAAGAGGAGCCGAACGAGAGAAATTGTTACCGCGCCGACCGCGAAAAAGGGTCCGACGAAATAACCGTTCCGTCGAAAAATATTCCCCGATGAGGGCGAAAATACCCCTGGTAACGCGTCTAGCACGGAATTATCATGAAGAATGTACATCGTTGTACGGAATATACGCGTCAGCCTGTGGAACCCAACGCTGTCAAACCGCGGACGTCCAAAATCGGAGCCTTCGCCGTGAAACGAGCCAATAAACGGACAGGGGGCGGAGGACAAACAACGGAATAAAGCACGGGGGCCAAAAGAATGGCCGAAGCTAATGTATAGGCGCACAAACAATATTATAAGCTAATTTCCCGGAATCGCGTGCCGTTTGTTCGTTACGCGGGGACGGCTGCGGATTAATTTCATCGAAATGGCGCAATAGGCCGTGCCGCGTACGCTGCAATGTCAATTTAACCCCGCGAATGGTCCATCGGTTCCGCGGAATTGTAAACAGACGCAGTCTCGTTCCGATCATCGTCATGAATTCGTTACGCCGAGCCGGTTAACTTTCTCATCGTCGCCTGATTCTCGCGGATTATTTAAATAACGCGACCCGTTTCGTTCGCGTTCAACCCCCGTCTACAATTATCGATACGCGATAAGCTCGATACGCGCACCCGTGCGAGCACGCGCTAATGTGTTCACAATTTAGGGGATGATTCGTTACTCGTACCGCGGGGCGGTGAGTAATCAACGGGAAAGAAGAATATTTTCCACGTTTTCCACGTTTCCCAAATTTGCACCATTATCGGCTTACAGCTATAACCGCCGCGAAGAACCCTGGTCATAAATAAATTTCACCCTGCTCCTTTCCCTCTCGTATTTTTACCATACGGTACACTCGCTGAACAAAGGGTTTCCGAAGCGAACGCGAATCTGTAGAGCTTATCGCGACCTATCCGGTAGGTACCTGGAGAGTTGAAGGTCCCTCGTCTGCGAATTTCCCAGAAGTTCGGTTGCTATAGCGAATTCCCATAATTTAGGAGAATAGTTCGCACCGAGAAACGAAAAACGAAACGCCCTGAATATTAACGAATTTCGATTCGATATTTTATAGGTCCTTTGTTAATGGGGTAAATTTTTGAATCGCGCGCGAAAACTACGCGCATCTTTGTGACATATCGCTCGACGAAAAACGAGGAAAGAAGAATTTTACACGCGGAAGCTGATGCGCGCGTAACGCCGATACTAGATATCGAGCGTCTTCCTTTTAATGGGTATACCGATGCACGGCCTTCTACCTCCGACACACTTTTATGGCAATCAATCGAAGCCGTAAAACCTTCTCGAGTCAACACGTGACCCATACAGATCTGGTTTCCCGTCTTGACCACCACCGTTAGAACGTCTCGAGGAATGTTACGACCTAGTCAGGCTTGAATTATGTCTATCGCAGTCATGTTCGAAACACGTTGATGCACGCGATACCATTTTTATCCTGCGGTTACGTTGTTCCAGGAACACGCGAAAAATTCGCACGTCTGGTTATTCGACATCGCACGAAACGCATTGTCTCTCGTCTCTTCTACTATCCGAAGAGTCAACGCTAGTAGTGACAGTTCACGGTCTACGTTTCCTGATAGTAATTCGATGAGAGTAAATTAACGCGAGACAACGAGGTACAGAGAGAGTATGAAAGGCTAGCTGAAAGGAATTCGCGACTGGCCTAATTCGAAGGAGCAAAAATGGGACTTACCTTAAGCTGATGTTGCGGTCGTCTGAGCGCACCCTGGTCTCGTCGTCCGCCTAGTCGATCGGCCTCCGCTTCCAATCCTTCCATCGAGGACTCAGCTTCGCTCAACCAAGCCAAGAACTTGTCCAGGGACCGGTCGAAGTTGTGGAGGGAGTTCATCGCGGAGTGAAGCAGTTTTCCTCGATTGATGATACTAAGAAGGATTTAATAGATATAGCCTGGTCGCAAAGCACGGCCATTTCGTTCTATTCCAGTTCGAATTTCGCGGAGAGTTTCTGTTCGAGTGCCACCGGGGCTCCAAAATTAATCGAAATTTCGGGCAGAGAATTGCACGAAACCGCGAACCGACGCGAGTAAAATAAACCGAATGCAACGTACCTGGAGTTCAAGTTGTTGTATCTCTGATTGATGGTCTCTGTCATCTTTTTCACGCGGGTCGTGTCGTCCTCTTGATAAACGGCGATCAACTTCTGAGTGAGCTGATTGAACTGCTCGATCTGGTGCTTGTACTGGTGGAGCTCCGCGTGGAACGACTGCACAAACAAAACAAAGTTCAGTTAGTCGACGAGTCTGATTATCGAACGGTTTAGAAGCAATCGACGCGATGGAAATATTTCATAAACGACGGATAAATTTCCCCGGCACGAGCGTAACGTTATTTCTGTTCTTCGTAACAGTTCCGGGAAGAATCTTTGCACAACGGTTATTAACAGTTATTTCTGGAAGCATTTCAACCCCCGAGGGAAGGCCAGCGCAGAGGCGAGTAAACTTATCTCGCGAGCACCTTCGTCGTCCGTCGAATCGAAAGTCGCATCTCTCGATAACTCGCAAAAGTTAAATCTTCCTAGAGGAGGAGGAGGCCCGGCTTCGAACTTTTATGCCGGTATACCGTGTGGTGGAAACTTTTATTTGGCCGGCCAGGCGACCGATTCGCGTGGATAAAACTTACCGGTAATCCGGATTAAGCCGTCGAACCGGAAAACGCGTTCTTATTGCCCGTCTTCGCCCGACGAATTATCTCGGACTTTAATTTAAAAGAAACCATTCGATCCCATGGGCTTAGCCACCATGGGAAGCAGTCAAAGATCGCTGAATATATGCAGACGATACAAACGAGTGGCAAATGAGAAAGGAAACGGATGAATCGCGATAATTCGAAGGAAAACAGATACCGGATAGACAACGGGGAAGCAACCCTTTTAAACGAAACGTACACCGAAAGTAGGTTCTCGCGTAGGACAGGGCTGAAGTATTAGTTTAGGACCCCCTGGAACCGCGCAAACTCTTACGGTAGATTGTTGCAGTAACCGAATAAACGAACGGAATATTTTTCTGGAGCACTTTCCGCAGCCATCGCGCTTCGTTCGAACGTCGAAAAGGGAAGCTCTCGAGATACGAGGTAAAACAATGACCGTTGCTTCTTCCCCGCCGATCTGATATAACGTACCTTTCCCGCGATTTTCCCCGACGTTGTTGCATACCATATAACCGGGAAAATATCTACGTACGCCCGATAATTTCAACGCGAACCAACAAGCGAGAAAAAGGACAATAGCGGAGGGGCATGGAACGCGAGAGGATTGGCAAGAGGATGGAGGTGGAACCAGAGGTACAGCCCGAATCCCGAAGATACAGCGTTCCCCGCCGAAATAAATTATTCCATGAATATCTCATTCGGCTCTTTTGAATGTAAACAGAGTTCCGACCGCGTGATGTACTACACCGTGGCACGATCTCGCGTTGATTGGGACTTTGGCCGTTCCTTTGCCCACCCCGTGCGCTCTGCTCGGCCATTTTTCCCTCCACGAGTCGCGTTATTCTGGTACACAAAGCGGAACGTTGCTAAAAAGAGGTTAGTAGCTGCTGGGATGAATACCGATCCGTTCGTTCTCTTTAATCGCGGTCGCGGCCTGTAACGAAGCTCCTAGCTGCCCATTATACTCGCGACCGTTCCTTTTTATATCTATTTTTTCCCCCCTTTTTCTCTCCCTTTTTCCATTTTTTCCTCTCTTCTTTTTTCTCTATTCGAGCAATTGCAGAGAATGCTCGCCGGTTAGATTATACGGGAAACTTTATTCGGTCGCTTTCGTAATTTTCTGATGGCATATAATCAGATTACGAAATTACCACGAGCCGTCTTCATGCCGGATGGAATTTAATATCGTAGGAGAAATTTTTTCTCTGCTCTTTCCTTTTCTTTCTCCTTTTTTTTTGTTGCTCTTTTCTCCTACCCCCAGTATCACCTGTTTATCTGCGCGCTAGCGAGGGTTCTGAAGGGGTGGGTGGTGCATGACGAGAATGGGGGAGTATGGGAGGAAGGCGAGGTAAAATGGGATAAACTCGTAGAATGCGGGAAACATTTTACGCTAACGTAACGCGTATTGTTCTAGTAGGAAACACTCGTTGTTCGGGACTTTTTATTCCCCGTGTCTCATTAGAACTTCGAATGCATTTTAGCCCGTAAGGACGTTACGTGTCCAGTTACATCCGGGGAAGAAAAACGAGTCCGTAAAATCCGCTTAAGGGAGCATTCCGCGTCGAGATAAAGCAACCGCTCGAAGTACTTGTCGCGGCTTTAAACGTTAATTTATTTACCCTGTATGGAGCGACACGGCAAAAGCCAGCTGACCAGAATTACATCACGGACGATGACTCGACGTTCTCTCGACGCGAGACCACGATATCTCGCGAGCGAATCAGCGCAGGGAAAACTTGGAAGGAATGGAAACACGGCGCGATTTTACAGCCCTGGCTGTTACTCGAAACTGGAACGTGCGTTTGAACACACGGAGAATCGATCATCGGGATCATCGATCGACAGGCCGGGATTTAAACCCCGCGCCGAACCCATTTACCGCTGCCAATAACACGGAATTCCCAGATGGTCATTCATTCAGCCCCTCCTAATCGCAATCAACGTAAATTGCTGCGATCAAACGGGAGAACCGGTTGCCTTCTGTCCGTTGCACAGCCATTGACACGCGCGGAATAAAGAGGAGATAAAGAGGACGACCCGGAGAGGTCGGTCTTCCGCGCACGGGTTAATGCAGAGCAGCCCGGGCAAGAAAGAGGAGAAAAATGCCAGCGTACCTTTTGTTCCCTGAGCTGTGCCTCGAGAACATCGGCGGTGTGTCCGACGGCCCGCATTTTCTCCAGCCGAGTTTCCATTCGCGCCAACCAGACCTCCACCTCGTTCCTCTTCGCCTCGTATCGCTGGCTGTCCCCGAGCATCGCGTCCAACTCCGTCTTCCTCTGCATCATTTTCGAGTTCATCTCGTCCCAGTGCTCCCTCAGCTTCGTAACTGCAACAACAATCGGCCGGACGTGCCATTTCAAACGATCCGTCTGCCACTATCTTCCGCGTTTCTCGTTTTTTTCTCTCCGCCGTTTAAAGCGGAACGGTTAAACGCGGTGCGCGACACAACAGCATCGTCAGTCGGCTGGGAGGTTATTACGGGACAGAGGAGGAATAATTGACGATAAACGGCGGTCGCGGAAGGTATCGAGATCGAGTGGAAACGCGGAACAGTCTCCGGCGAAGATGGCCGACGCTGATAGCGAACGCTTTTCGCGACAACCGATGATTTATGCGTTTAACGTTGCGCGAGACAGGTCCACACGTTGACATACTCGTTCCGTAAGGTAAGATACGATCGATTCGGCCGGGAGAAAAAGGCAATGACGGATTAACTCGTTAAAACAGCGTACGCTACTGGATTATTAAACGGAACCGGCAACAAACGGAATAAATCCAATCTGTTTCTCGTTAGAAATTCATTTTATACGCTTGCACCCTTTACGCGAACCCGAGACCCAATAACGGAGCGGAGGTAAAGCGCGCGGAGCTTGGGGGCACGCGTTTGGCTATTATAACCAATCAGTTCCTTTTGTGGGAATAATTCGAAAAAGCCGACCTAACCGGAATTAAACTTTCATCCTGTTCATCGTCGTTCGCCTAACAAGGGTCGCATGAATAAATAAACCTATCCAAGCCGTGGAAGAATCGTTCCAATTATTCGATCGCTCGCGCCGTGAGAATTTCGCTACTCCGCGAGCGTGCCAACGGAACAACGCGGTAATCGAAATAAAGGTAAGAGCGGCGGCGAGTCGCATGATCGATTCGTCGGGGCCGCGCGCGACGCACGTTCGAATTCGAGTGCGACCGACTGTGCGAAGGCTCGTTAATCGAACACGAGAGGAAGCGGGGGTCGCTGGCACGTGCTCGTTGTTTCAAGAAGCACTTCTCGGCGAGCTAAAATCCACGTTGAAATTCGCGCCAGACACGAGGAATCAGCTGGAAGGTGTCCAAGCTGCAGCAGCTTAGCGGGAAGGACGCGCAGCTGGGAAAGCGGGGCGCAAAGCATTGGCAGCGATTCAACATCCGTAACAACAGAATTACCACGCGTGGACAGCTCTGTAGAATGGGGTTCTATAGTGTACCTTTGATGATGCAACGCATGTGCACGATGTTTCGCGACAGGGTGCCGGCGAACAGGACCGAGGCTAAAACGAAAACAACGTGATTGAGAGAGCGTCACCCTCGAGGTACCGCGTGATTAAAATGGTTAGGCCAACGCGCGATGGGGATGGTCCGGATGATTCGACTCGCGCTTCCAACTCCGTTCGTTTTATCGGAACGAGAACGATTTCATTTGCTAGACACACTTCCGATAATTCGCTAACGCGTTAACGAATTTTTAAATCTATCTTCTTTCTTTCTCCCTCCCGTTGCTTTTAATGCGCGACACAGACGAATGGTTAAACGCGGTATTTCATATACCAGAGGACCGATGCAATCGTTCGATTCGATGTAATCAAAAGCGCAGCTAAACCGAGTGATAATATTCGAAAACAGCGATACAGTTGCCGATTACAATGGAGGAGAGTCAAACGCGTAAGCACTCCAGGCGATTCGCAGTTTAGCGAATCCCCGCCAACTGAACTCTCGTCGATATTCGCAGGCAGCGTCACGATTTAACATGAAATAGGGGGGTCCTATATGTTTCCGAAAATTAAAAAATACGCGTTTCAGCGGAAACAATTTTCGAGAAATCCCGACACCGGACGTGAAATATTTCGCGAAATATTTTCGTTAGAGACGATACCGTTAAACCAATCGATTCGCGTCCACCGATTAAATGATCGTACACGGAAGCGGGGAGGAAGAGAAAATAAAAAACAAAAAAAAAAAAGAAAACGAGCGATAAAACGTAATAAATCGCGCAGAAATTTCGACCGTATTTGTTCAACTTCTTACCTTACGATTCGAGTTGCGATGGCGCGTGCCATAGTCGACGGCAAGGTCGATCACGCGTCGAGCCATTTCGTGCGAACGCGGCGAAGAATAACGCGCGACTGAGACAGGAAAACATCTGCTAAAATGAACCACGAACCTACCCGAGGCTCACAATGTTTACCTTGGTCCCTATCTTCGAACCACGCCTCCTACTACGTCGTGTTCCGCCCGATTTCCTTACCGCAAGTCTCGCGCGACATCGTAGAAGAGGTTAACGCGTTTGCTGACGATCTCGAAGCAGCTGTCGAAGAAACGGAAAGGCGATCGATCATCGTGGATCCGTTCGCATCGATACATCACCGTGGCTAATTTTCTCGCGGACAGGGAACAAAGAATTACGATCGGAGTGCATTCGCACGTAGCCGGAAGCATATGCTAGGCTCGCAGACTGATATAATCCGACAAGCCACGCATGGCAGACTAATGTTGCGGAGTTAAGAGGGAAGAGCACCCACGGTACGACTACGTGAGCCTTGGATCCCGGGACCGGAAGTAAAGTGGCTTGATCTATCATCCCCCACCCGGCAGACACCCGGGTCTGCGAAGGGATACCCCGTGCAAAAGACGAGGACGTTGTCTCCCAGCAGCTGCTCTCGATGACTTATTACGAGAGCAATTCGCTCTCATCGACCCCTACGACTCAGACCCCGCGTGCCCTACCCTTTTGAACTCGCGTCACAAGCGTGACAAGTGTTCGATGGGACATTAAAGATGGCACGTACACCCTTCAACTCGCAGCCCAGCCAACGCGCCGCTGAACTCCCTACAACCTGGTCACGAATGTGGCTTAATTTTCCTTCAAATTTCCATATCGTTAACGAAACTCTCTCTAGTTTCTTTCTTCCCCCGTCCATGTATTTTATCCTGTTTTATCGTATTTTTCATTCGGTTTTGTACGCGCGTTTACGTATAGACGAATTTTTGTTTCGGACACAAGGGAAACCGTAATATCGAACGGGGTAGAAATATTTTTTTTATAAAACCGGGATTATTAACCTGACCGCGTTAAAAACTAGGGAGAGACCGGTGTTCCGTAGCCTGTCCCTCTTTACGCAAGCTTACGAGCCAAGTAGAGCGAAAACTCGGTGTTCTCGTTGGTAACAGCTTGAATGCCG